TACAATTTATATTAGGTCAGCGTTCACGGTTCGACTTCTGATATTCAGATCGAGTTCTAGGTCAAACTGGTTTGTTCTACTTTCAAGAAATCAAGTTCTAGTGAGTTCGAGAACCGAGGTACCACTGTATTTCAGTATAGATCCGCATATCCCCACATACATTGTCAAGCGAGAATACCAGGGAGGTATATCCGAAAGTTGGGGTTTAAACTCGAGCTATGACACTGCAGTAAAGTTAATTTATAATTGGCCAGTTTCCCAGTCAAGGATTAAGCCTAAGCCTAGACTAGCTTTGAGTTACAATGGTGAATCTCCATTGAAATGGCAATTTAGTCCAAGACTAGTCTTAATCCTAGTTCGGGAAACCGGCCCATTCAGTTTTCCGGTGCAATATCTTTCTACAAAAGTAAGAAACACCCCCTTGTTTTCTGGATTTCTTTACAGGCGAATTTTAATATTTATGTTTGTGTGTGCACTTCACGTCCAGTAGCCCAGCTGCCTTGCTTATTGTTACTGGCGTTTGATCAACAGTGAAATTATTAACAAATGCGTATAAAACCACATATATGAAAGTTACATGGTGTGCATTGTCCTCCATAGTTTGTTTAATGCTTAAAGCACACTTAACTGGACATGTCTGTATCGTTTGGGTTTATAGTTATTAGTCCATTAATTCTATGTTTTGTACTTAAACGGACACAGTACAGTCATTATTAGTAATGCAGTTATTAGTAAATTAGTAAAAACTATTTCAAAAAATATCCACCGACCCTGTCCTCTTTGGGGCACTGTACAAATGTGACATTTTACAGGCTGTTAATAAAATACTGAAAAGAATGCGTTGGGTTTTTTGGGGCGGGGTCACGGGTATTTGAATATATTCGAAGGAATTGCGGGACTTGATTTTTAAAAAATGTGACAGCCCTAGTCTGTGCTGTCACCTGTAGAGGGCCCCAGTCTTCCTGGAGGCAGGTTTCTCTCAGGGCAAATTTAAGGTGGTTTTGGAGGTAAATCCCTCTCTCCAGTATATTTTGATCTTTGCACTTAACAGTTAGGTTGATAAATGTATGCTATTGATTTGTGTTCCTTCGCATAATTTGGTTTTTTATTAGTTTTGTGTTTAGTCGACATATTTTAGCAGTCATTCCTCTTTGCTGGGTTTATCCTGCATGCCTCGGCTTGTTTTTCCTGTATTTTGACAGTACTTCTGTTACTTTGCATTGTTGATATAAACAATATTGACTGTGGCTGTTAATTTTGTTTTGTTTTGTTCTGCCCTCTTACAGGTCCTGCAGAAGCTGGGAAAGGCGGACGAGACGAAGGACGTGCAATTTGAGGAGGGTGTGATCAACTTCAACAAGCAGCTGGTGAGAGTCTTGCCATTCTTGCTTGGGACCCCTCCCATTATGAGGCAGTTTTCCAGACCCCCCCCCCCCCTCCCTCTGTCAGCAGTGAGGTTCTGGCATACAAACTGCTAGGGGGTTCAAGCAGTCTAAATGCACTGTGCCAATTGACTAAAATGGAAATCTGAACATAATGTCACATATCTGTATATAAAACCGGAAGTTGTTGTCATCTAGGAGGCTGTTATTACTATTGGCCTCAGTGTTTGTGTGCATGTGTGTATCTCCTTGCTTGTGTCCTGGGCTTTCTTGCTTTTGGTACTAGGCTCATTGTGGATTATATATTTAATGCAGAAGCAACATTTGGGAGCAAAGGAAGGCCAATGTACCAGCCCAAACCACTTTGTCCCTCTGTGAGGCTTAGTCATTTTGTCTTTCTCTCAGTCATCTGCTGTTCCATGGATGTGTCATGACTTCTGTTTTCAGGTAGAGGGCAGCAAACTGCAGAAGGACCTGAAAGCTTATCTCGCCGCAGTAAAAGGTCTGACCTCACATTGCTGCTCCGTATCCTCTTGTCCTTGTTCCTGTCTGAATTTAATGTCTGTCTGGCCCCTATAGCCAGGGCATCCAGTGACGTCTCCTTCTCTCCGTTCGCCCACAGCAATGCACGAGTCGTCCAAACGCTTGCACGAGTGTTTGGCAGACATGTATGAACCAGACTGGTATGGCAAAGACGAGATGGACTCCATTGCTGAGGTTGGCCCTGTTCACACTCAGTTTTGGTTACACTATAACTGAACTGTGTGGCTAGAAAATGGGTATAAAGTGTCTTTGTCTATGTCAGCACATAGAAGTCCCTGTAGAATAAGTTTTGAGAAACTTAATCCACAATATTTTTTACCCTGTCCTTCAAGTCAAATTGTAGTATTACCAAAACACACACGTAGACATTTGAACACATGTGCCCACTACTTATGGGTCATTTGTGTTGGTTCTTCCTCTCCTCTGTCAGCCGTCATTTAATTTTGCATGGTTCTATCCTTCATCACTGCATGTCTCTCATTCTTTACTCAATCCTCATCCCTGTCACTCTGAAGGAGATGATAGAGAAGGAGCTGGATAACACACTGGAGGTAAACAGGACGCAGAACAGTGCTGGGTGCTCTGAAAATGTGGGAGCTGTTTGTTTTAGTAGACCTTTGTACTGCAGGTTTTATGAGAGACAAAGACTAGATTTACAGTAGAAAAGCGAACATCTGTTTGTCATGCTGAGGGCTGTGTGTGATTATGCATGCGTATGACGGTCTTTAATGTTTCAGGATACTGATCTGCTATGGACGGACTTCCATCAGAAACTGGTGGATCACGCCCTGATTTCTATGGACACTTATCTGGCTCAGTTCCCAGACATTAAGGTAGGCAGTGTGCTGTTCCTGCGACATCTTAAACATTCAGTGCCCTGTGGCACCCAGACTGAACGCGAATCTCTACTCAGGCTCGGATCGCCAAGCGAGATCGGAAGCTGGTGGATTTTGACAGCGCACGGCACCACTTTGCTTCCCTGCAGAAGGGGAAGAAGAAGGATGAAGTCAAGATCGCCAAGGTAATGCTAGTAAAGTGAGCAACTGCTTCATGGTGACACAGAGATGACTGGTACCCTTCTCTCATGGCAGTAAGGGTAGAAGGACTGCAGCTGCTTTTCCTCAGGGCAGACATGGCCGTGGTGTGCAGTTAACCAGCAGCTGGAGAGTGGCCCTTTCTGCTGTTGCACTGACTTGTATACGCACGTGTGTGAGCATGGCCGTGTGCGTTTGCATTGTGCCTTCTTTGGTCTCGAGATGATTTTAGCATAACAGAAGCACTGACCGTTTGAGTGTCTTAACCACAGCCCTTTGTCTTGCTTTTGTCTTTCCCTCTCTCTTCCTCCACCTCACTTCCCTTCTCACTCTTTGCGTGCTTATTCTGTCACTCGGTGCACGAGCAGCCGGTCTCGCTCCTGGAGAAGGCCGCCCCAGGCTGGGCTCAGGGGATACTGTCCGCGCATCATGTTGCCCAAACTAACCTGTCGAGAAACCAGGTGACTGACGAAGCATCGCGCTACTCACGACTCACCCCGCATCTGAGTTAATGTGCTTTCCTGCTCAGTCTCAACATGTTTTCAGAAAAGTCGAATAATTATATAGAAATGGTAGATCAAATTACATCTGTTTTAATGGTTTATGGCATCACCTGTTATTTCGGTCACTAATGAAGGAGTAATTTTAGGTCAATCTTAGACTTTCTCATAATTTCTGAGCAGATGTTGCAAGTATTTCATAAACATTTCAGGTGAAATGGAACTGTCTTTGCGCATGGCTACATCATTTCCGTGTGTGTGTGTGTGTGTGTGTGTGTGTGTGTGTGTGTGTGTGTGTGTGTCTACACTGCTAGGCAGAGGACGAGTTGGGAAGGGCTCAGAAGGTCTTTGAGGATATCAATGAAGACCTGCAAGAGGAACTTCCATCACTGTGGAACAGGTGAGCTCATGGAACAGAAAGAGAGACTAATCCCTCCTAAACTAGGGGATAAAGCAATTAGCCTCTGCAATTTACACAATGTGGCTATAGTTCCCATCAAAAACAGCGGCATATGGAAGTTAGTCTCTCTCACCTTAGTGGGTTAAAGAATGGGTTAGCCCTAAAAGAGCTAGATTCTATTAAGACAAAATATGGAGAATGAAAGACTTGGTTCTCTCTGGAATCAGAGAATTCACTTAGACTAGTACTATAGCTTGGATAATGACATCTGGTGCTTCATTGACCAGAAAGACGGAGACACACCCCCTAATAAACCGGGAAGCGCTGGGAGAGTTACAGGTCATTTTCAGACTTTGGTAGACATTGATTAGTGGTTTGTTTACTCCTCGGGATAATGCTTGCTGTGTTCTCTCCCCAGTCGTGTTGGCTTTTATGTTAACACATTCCAGAGTGTTGCAGGGCTGGAGGAGAAATTCCACCGAGAAATGGGAAAGGTGAGCGATGTCACAGCCGAAAGGCATATTTACGGTTTCTCCCCGATGAGGTCATTCTGTGCATGGGACCTTCCCACAATCAGTGGTGTCAAGTCTCGCATTGTTCCTGTGAGATTGCCGGTGTTTTGTCTTTGCCGTCATCTCACGGCCGTGAGACGTAAATCATACAGTTTGTGATTCCTTTAAACCAGTGTTTCCCAGTCTAGTCCTCGGGGACCCAAAGACAGTGGACAGTCCACAACTCTGGTAGCAAAAATGTGGACTTTCTGGCAGGGAGCTGGGAGGGAGAAAAACGTGGACCGTATGTGGATCCCCAAGGACCGGATTGGGACACACTGCCTTAAACCAGACAAGAACAGTTTCTTCAGTATCAGAAATGATCTGCTGTGAAGGCTTATCTGAGTAAACATATAAATGGGGGGGTGGGTGGGGGGGGGGTGTCTCTGCTGCTCATAAAGCTTAGTTGATTAGTTTTATTCTGTATTTACAGACATTAGTGGTCACGTTGTTGTTTTTTCTCTGCAAGCATTATTTTGTAATAGTAATAATAAAAATGTAAAGAGATAAAGGGCCATTTTTGATGGCTCACAGTTTTCCCCAAATGTACAAGCTTTCCGTCACCCGACTCCCTGTTTTCACTGCAGTCAGGCTGACATACATGCGTAATGCACCGGTAGTTCCTGTAGTTACGGGTTTTCTCTCTCTCCATGTGTGTAGCTCAGTCAGAACCTAAATGATGTGATGATCAAACTGGAAGATCAGAACCAGTCCGGGTAAGTTTAAACTGTGAAGGAGGTTTGAATACAGGCCCTCAGATCTACACGTCATCATCCGTCATTTAATAATTGTCATACATATCCATGTAACATTAATACATGATATAAGTATGGCATATTCAAAACTCTATAATATTGCTTTATCTCATCTGTATACTTGTATCCATTTTTACAGCTATCTGCCATACGTTATGCATTATTTATTATGTACAGTTTGGTTCCATAAATATTCGTTGTATTTCACCTTTTTTCCTTAAATCAACTTACTTATATATATATATTACTTATATAAGTAACTCAAGAAAACTTCAAATGACAAATGTTTTCAGACAGTCCTCACGGTGTGTAAGAGGTTGGAATTTCTTTTGGTCTGAGTCGATCTTGATGATTTAAGAATAAACCAAACCGCACCCTTCAACAGAAAGGCAGGTAAACTGGGTCTGAAGACGACAGCCGCTGGGAAGAGGTAACAGAAGTGGGAGAGAGTGCATTGTGCTACTGGGATGGGCTCTGACTAGGTGGTGGACTTGCAAGGTTTGCATGACACAGGGAGTCCCTGGGGATAGAATTTGCATGGTCCAAGGAAAAGGTTAACATTCAGTTCATCAGAATATGTGAGTTATTTTCTTGTGAATGAGTTAGTGTTTCACCAGGTGAGTATGCATGGTTACAGGTGTTTAATGAGGTTTGCTTATTACCAGCTGAGCTCAGATGAGTGACCTAGCATGGTAACCAAGACACTTTATTAGGTTTGGCATGCTGGGATTCAGTTTAAGTATATCTTGACCTCCTGTCTGTAGGGGGAGTGTGCTACATTACTTTGCTGCCCCCTTGTGGTGATATCCTTGATTTTCCTTCTGCACTTATATTTGCTCACATGATAGGTGCATGCAAGAGCAGGTGATAGTCAGTCAATGATTCTCTTTTTCCTGCTTTTTCATTGGCTACAGACAGGAAGGCACTAATAACACCCTTTCTCCACGAGCATCAGGACCACCCATCCCCAAGTCTCCGTCCAAGGTACAGACCCTGTTCCCAAATGTCTCTCCCATTGTTCCCAGTGGTCTCTCGCCACTGCGGAGATGGGGGTGAAGGAAAGTATCTGGTCCCCATCCAGAAGTGAGAGTGTTTGGGGCGTCTACTTGCACACAAACATATGAAGGAGGGTGGACGGTGGACTCAAAAAGCAGTGACATCATTGTGCTGCCCCCTTGTGCTCAGGAGGGCTTTCGACCCAATGAGACTCAGTGTCGCTTAGCATTCAACCCTAACTGCAGCACGGTGTGGTGGCGTGTAACTGGCATGCTTTGATAACTGTGTGCTGTCTGTCTCCCTTACTGCTGGCATGTTACTGCTGCACATTCTCCTGTGTCCATGAAACACTCGCGGGCACCACAGCTGAAGCCGGGGCCACCGGTACCCCCACCACCCAAAGTGACCCCGTCGAAAGATGTCAAGCAGGAAAACATCATCGACTTGTTTGATGACGCGCTCGTGCCCGAGATTAATGTCACCTCCCCTTCACAGGTTAGACAGCCACCTCCTCTGGGTAGTTACATGTCTTCGACTGCAGCGTACACCATCCTACCCTGGTACATCCGTACCACTCCTGATTTACCCCCATCTGCCCCCTCTTGGTTCCCACCCTGTACCCCTGCACCTTCAGATTTCCCTCCTATTTCTCTGGCCTTCCTCCACAGCATCCGTATCCCTGCCAATCCATCTAATAACCACATAATGTATATTTCAGAGCTGCTCCTACCTCCCTTAAAGCCAGTGTACCTCACTCTCCTCATACTAATTCCAAGACCAGCTTTCCAGTAAAAGCTGGCTTCTCTCCTTCCGATGGCAGTGTGATTCTTCTGGGGGGGGTAATCTGCTTGATATGGATTTGGATACACTACCTGCAGTCAGCCCAGGGGGTGTGGTCTCATCCCCATCCTCCCAGGTGGGTCTTCCCTTCTGGCAGGGAAATCAGGAAGCTTCTTTACACCATGTATTGCATGTTAAGAGAGTGCAATATTCTTTTTTTTCCACCCAGTATTTAATCTTGGCCTCCCTCCTGTTGTGGTCCTCGGTTGTAAAATCTTAACGTGAAATGCCTTCCAGCAACAATTTGTTTACTCAGTCTCCCTGCATGTGGACGATTAACTAACAGGCGTCTCGGAGTACAGTAGCAGACGTGACTGGTGACCTCGCTGGGCTGTTGCCTATTCGGGTTTAATGTTTCTGTAAGCAAACACGATTTGCGTGTAGCTCTGCTAGCCACTGAGAGGGAAGCACCTTCTCTGGGGTCAAAGTTTACCAAATGTGTTGACAAATAGGGCATTTTTGGAAAGGTACTTGAAGGGGAAAAATAAAACCTAAGTATTTGAGCGCAAAAAGCAGTGATAGATTTTGAATCTATGCAGTTCAAATTATTATTATGCTGAGCAGATGTAACTTATAGAACAATGATACTGGTTATAATTATTTACTCAAATACGTTCAGTTACAGAGTGTAGTCAAAATCAGTAGGGGTTTTACTTCTGCTTGTTGTCTTGGTGGGAGACGTCACTTATTTGCCTGTGATTTTCTTATCTTCGTTGCCTCACGGAAGGCGATGTCATGGAATACGTGGGAGGTAATCAGATCCTGCTTTCTGATTGGCTCCATTGACAGCGCACTCCATTGGCTTGAGTAACAGTATCTTTGGCTTTTCTTCTGCCTTTGCCAATTGGAAAATGTCGTGAATCAGTAGACTGAGAACTGTGCTCTTTTTCCTAATTGGCTGACTTCTGATTGCATCAGTAGTAATTCATTCATTCAGTTGGTAGTGAATGGAAAAACAAAGGGGGGCGGGATTTACTATGTGCTGTCAATCACTGCCTCATCTAACCCGCTGGGATTTAACAAATTCACTAATGAAAATGGGTTAAACACAACAGTGACTGACAGTGTATGATTATTCCCACAAAGCTGAAATACCCACTTCTCCCATCACTGTTCCTGGCTTCTATAATTCATCTTTTTTAATATCCAGATTGTTTCTGAAACTGAGCTCAGGAGGGGCACGATTTAAGACATTAAGTTTATCGATGTTTTATGGCTCATTCCTCCACTTCTGATGTTTGGGCTTGACAGTTGAGTGTAGGAGTTTATAGCCTGTAGCAGAAATATGCATTAACCTCAGAATCAGTGTTAAAGTGCCCTCTCGGTCTGCTTGTCACCTTAAACCGTATTCATGTCTCCTTCCTGCATTCCCGTATTTGGCCCTTTGTCCATGCACCTCTGGCCTTTTTTGCCTCCCAAACACTGACAATGCCCTGGGAAAATGGCCCCCACTCATCCCCCTGAGCAAACCCCTTCCACAGAGGAGTCACAGCAGTGGGGCAGTGCAGACTGGCATGATGGCAGAGGCCAGACTACACACACACGTTGGGATGGCTCCTCCCTGTATGCGCAGATGGGTTGGCATGACCGTGCCCAGTTTGCACAGGCAGGCTGGGATGATGGTGGTGGTGGTGGTGGTGCCAAGGTAGAGTTGGAGGAGGAGTCCCCAGCTGCCGCTGAGCGGGCAGACTGGGACAGCCCTGGGGACCAGGCTTTGGGGGCAGATGAGCAGACTGCTCCAGCACAGACAATAGGAGAGCAGTACCAGCATGTTGGTGCACTAGCAGCCTAGGTAAACTGTACAGGGGCTGTACTGCTGGCAGGTAGAAATGTGAAATTCTGTAGACTGGTACTGGCAATTGTAGAACTTGTATGTCAATGGATGTTTCCTTTTTGTTTAAGCTTTACTGCATAATTGATAGCTTCTGGTGCCAGATAGGGTGGTACGTCTTAGAATTTTACTGTAGCGTGACGTGATTGGCTACTTGCCATGTAAATGGTGCTGGGAAGACGACTCATTGGTCGGTAGGAAGGGAGGAGGCTTATGTAGCTGCAAGCCAGTTACATTTTTAGTCTCTTTCAGAATAATAAAAAAAGAACTGCAGCTATATTTGTGCATGTTGTGGACAATCAGAAACGGCATGAACATGAATGCTTGCTCTGTCTCTCGCTGGCAGAGTGCCTGCCTCAGCACTTCTACACAAATACAGACACATGAGTGCATTTGTGTCTGAAAGGAGCACAGACACAGACTGGCAGGTGTTACATAAAGTTGCTGAATTTAGGTTTTTGCCTCAAGGTGACTAAGATGTTTGTCTCTTACTCTTCTGATGCCTGCTGGTACCTGGTTGTGGGGCAAGCAGGAGAAGCAGGCGTCTGGAACCACAAACGGGTCTTCAGATGAAGCTGAAATGCCACCTGGCTTCCTCTACAAAGTAAGATCGCTTAACTCCGTTCATATGTTCTTGTTCTCTGAGAGTTTAACAGAAGGTTCCCCAAATGCCAGTAACTCACCATGAAACAAACATTGTCTTCCTCCTTTGAGAAACTGGAAGTAACAGAACTCTAAATTTGTTTGGAGGGGGTTATTAATGATTAATTGGATTAAAGCGTGTACCAGGGTTGGTTAATTCAGAACACTTGCTCATAGGTCAAGGCGATGCATGATTATGGTGCCACCGATGGGGATGAGCTGGATCTGAAAGCTGGAGATGTGGTACTGGTGATGTCGCATGAGAACCCAGAGGAGCAGGTCAGTACACCCCCCCCCCCCATTCGGCTGTCTGTCTTTATGCGGCGCACCGTGCTGTGCGTCACTCACTCTGAACGTTGTGTCTGCAGGATGATGGCTGGCTGATGGGTGTAAAGGAGGCACACTGGCTTAAGAAGAAGGACCTCAAAGTCAAGGGAGTGTTCCCAGAGAACTTCACGCAGCACTTGTGAGGGCGCCGCCTCACGTCCAGGCTCTCCTTGACCCTCGTCCTCCTGCTCCGTCATTCCGACACACTGGATGCCCAGCTTCCCACCGGGCACAGGAACAGAGTTTGTCATTTTGCACGCTGGAAGATTGACTCAGGTCATTAGAAGTGGTGGCGAGTTCGTTGTCGTGTTACTGTGGGATCTGGACAGGGTTTGCTTGCCTTCAAACTGGACGGAGAAGCAGCTACCAGCACTGTCTCACCAAGCCTCTGTACCTCCTTGGAAGACGTGTGCTTCTGTTTCTCGTTGTACTTGACCATCCTCGGTATTTTGATTAAATCATTGTTTTGTCTCAATCGCTTGCCAGTGTAAACCCCCTCCTCCCTCTTTACTGGCTTTAATGCCCAGCTTCCCTTAACACTGGGTTCCAAGTGAAGTAGCAATGAACTGTAACCTGGCTTGATCTAGCATAGTCTCTCCCTCATCTGAACCCTCTGTTTTGTATGTTTTATTTTTTCTTTGCTCCTTTTATTATATGTGTTTGTATTTCAGTGTGGTTCTTTTAAACCCCGTTACTCGCAAAACCAAATCTTAAACGAGAAAGGAATGGTATATTAGGAGCTTTTGGTAAAGAAACAAATGATTGTTTGAACATTATTTAAATAGTATTGTAAAAAAACATATTGCATGATGCTCTGTGAAATAGTTTTATCTGACATAAGAAATGCGTGTGAATAGAATGTGTATGAGCCTATGAAAAGTTTACAGGGGTGTCATTTGGATGCGTCTCCATGTAACGGGTCAGGCCTGCTTCTCCCAAAGCCTTCTGGGATCAAAGTATTACATTGAATACAGAGGTGTCATTAGCATCTACGTGAATTGGCAAACGTTTCTTTCTAAACTGTCTTTTTTTTTTTCTTTTGCTATTCAAGAAAAAAAATTTCAGATTCTGTAATTCTACCTACTTTTAACAGATCTGGATATTTACAGACCTTTTATGAAACAGTTTTGTTTAACCATTTTGCACTGATGTTTGATTGTAGTGCCTATTTTAGGATTTTGTTGTGAAGGCGGTAGGCTAGCCTTTAATTTGCATCACAACTGCTGTCTACCTAGGTCAGTGTTTCTCTACTCAGTCCTTGGGGACCACCAGACGGTCCACATTTTTGCTGGGGAGCAAAAACGTAGACCGTCTGGGAGTCTCCAAGGATCTGGTTGAGAGAGATTGCACCTGGGTAGACGTTCACAGAATGAATCAGCTTAGTTTTTGTATCAAAGTAGATGAGTTTCATTGCTTGAAGCCCAGGAAGGTTGGTCACATTGATACATACATATACCTACACACATACACCCCTGCTCATGTGCACTATCCTCACACAAATAGTCCTTTTACACCTGTATATCTCTCATGCAAGAATTCCTTGCTCCCACGCAATGCCATGTCTGCATTCAGTGATTTTTGAGGGTACACTGAGAATTCTTGAATTTGAAATTATTTCTTCTTTTCCTGGAAAATCCGGAATATACTGTAGCTGCTTTATGTGCTGTGAAATTCCATTTCTAGGATCTGTAGTTCACGTATGCCTGGAAAAATTGCCCCTCTGCCGTTTGAGTGGTGGCGGGAGAGTGACATCTGTTATTTGCTTGAGAGGAAGTCTGATCTTCTGTAGCTGTCTTCAGCTTAAGCCAGTTCCGTCCTCCTCTGGCGCACGCTAATCCGCTGTTTGCTTCACATGTACTCAGCAGAGTTATTTCTGCGAGTTCTGTGAAATTGAGAACTGTCTGCATTTGGTGCTTTTAACTGGTGGCAGACGGGATACATGGGATTCATACTTGAACCCTCTCTGCCTGAGATTTTCTGAGGCTCCGAAGGCATGAAACCCATCAGTAAGAAATGTTTTTGAGCTTGTCATTTATTCTTATGGAATATGTCAATGGAAACAGTGGGGTGCTTTCAGGCTATGTTGCTTCACCACTGGTGTGAACCTCCCAAAATCGTATACTGTATGCCTGGACTCTTTCCTAATCCATATTGTAACGTGTGCATCTGTTTGTTTTGCTCAGGGTATTATCACTCTCTCCACTGGTGCCTCATGGTGCCGCAGACAGAGGGCTGTGCTTTAACTCTCACCACAGACTGTCGCACTAATCTGGGCCACACTTGGAGTTAAAGCCGGTCCCTCTCTCCCCAGACACAGAAGCGTCCATATGTGTTATATCAGTCTGGAACATATTTCTCGGTTCTCTTTAAATAATTGTATGCTAAGAACAGTATGTTACCTACCACATATCAATAATCCTTGTGATGTGTTGAATATTCTGCTGTTTTTTTTTTTTCCAAATGACCCTCTGATCAATTACATTAAATATCGATTTATTCTGTTGTGCCATCAGCTTCCCTTCTTCCAATTTTTTTTTATACATTTTTTTAATGTATTCATGCACACAACAGCTATGAAATTACTGAGAATGATTTGCACATGATGGCCAGGAAGAACCCCCCCCCCCCCATAGTAGAATCTATGCAAATGTGAAAAACAACAATGTGGGATCAGGGGGCCAAGGTAAATATTAAAGAGAAGGAGCCTGATTAATGTCAAACTGACTTTACACAAGCTGAAGGCAAAGGTCAGTGTAGGGGTGGAGTTTGGAGGCTCATAGCTGAGGAGGTGCTGGGGAAGGAAGGAGAATCTTTGCTGATCAGAGGGACTCTCCGAGGGTGGCAGACGGAGGAGCCGGGCCTCCACTCTGCGGCACGATAAGGGGGAGTCGAGTCAGGAAGGAATCCCAGGGACTAGAGGACGAGGGAGAGCAGCATGCGCACGAGGAACGCTGGTCTCCAGGAAGATCCCGAGGATCCTGGCAGAGCGAAGAGGGCCTGCGTGCTCAGAGTGGACCGAGTCCCACCGTGCCTGCTCACCCTGTCCCTGGCCCTGCAGGTAAACACCTTATGTCATATGACACGCCTCCCAGGCAGGAGAACGTGGCAATAGGAGATACGCCCACTGCCGTAGATTAGGGACCGACGACAGTCCGATTCTTATGCTAAGGCGGTACGCTGACGCTGCTAAGAGCGGATCACAGAATGCTGTCTCAATGCGGTAAACACCTCTGCTCTTTGTCTAGAATGTCCAGACCCTCCAGGTGCACTTTGACCTCTCCACCGAGCTTGATTTGTCTCTATCTCATGCCTTGTATCCCTCCTGTATTTCTCCCCCACCGCGTGCAGCATGTGCTGGTCCAGTCCTCCATGCTGGTCCTGGCTCTGGGGCTCCTGCAGCAGCAGCTTTGGCTGCGGGAAGGTGACAGGCAGAGGCTGCTGGCCTCCAGCTTCTTTCACTGCAGTGTCTCCACGCTGCTGCAGGCTTGGCTGGGCACACGGTGAGATGGTGACACAAACGACCCTGAGCGTGCATTAACACGCCAGCAATCCAGCTGACCTTCGTATACACAGTCACCGTCTTGCTTATTTTTAGCTTGCCATTGATCCAGACGCCGTCCTTAGAGTTTATTATCTCTGCCCTTGTCCTGACCTCCAAGCCTTTAGCAGACGTGCATCTCAACTGTGAGTCTTCCTGTCTTCGCCTGAAACTATATAATTCTACGCGACGCTGTACTAAGCTATGCTATGCTATACTGTACTGTGATATATATGGGGGCAGTCACTGTTTCTGTGTGCTCTCGCGCAGTGTCCACGTCGGTCTGCATGAGCGCCTGCGAGGACCCCCCCTCAGCAGTGACAGACCCCCTGAGAGAGGTACACAGCAGTGCTGTCCGTGGTGCTGATGAGCTCACACGCTGTCCGGCGTGAGCCAGTATCCGTGCACCTGCTGGTTTTTTTTATTATTATTCTGCATGGGGTTTTTCATCCTTTTTCATTCAGCTTTTTTAAGAGCCCCCATCTCCTTTAATGGAGGAAGGTAGCAGGTGTGGACAGTAAGAGTAGATTTACTCTTATTACTGCAATAGGGTCTTTTTTTTTTATTGAACTTTTAAAGTATTTTTACTTTGACCTAAGTATTATGAATTTTAGTAATTGTGCTTCATTACATTCAATTCTGAGTCCACAACAGAGTAAACGCCAAAGGTCAAAGGGTCACATGACAAAGTGAGAATGAGAGAGACCACCACCCACCAGCCGCGGCATCTTGCATTCAGGACCATGGAAGGTGTATCTAGCAGACCTACTGAGTCGGATTTAACCACACTTGTGACCTGGCACATCAAACCAGTCGTCAAGAGAAGTGCCTGAAGATATTCCCTGGCTACATTTAAGGGAGCTTTTTATTTTATTTTAGTGTCAAAAAGGAACACTGGTGGGTGGTGATCATTACAGCTGCCTTGCAAAGAAGTTGTTGGGAGGGGGGTTGGTAGAGACAGTAAACTGCCTACCACCATTATCACCAAAGTTTACATACACTGATACCTTCACGTACCATACGAGGAGGTAAAGAGGTAATGGCAATGTTTTTTTTTTTTATTGCATCTGAAGTGTAGGGTAGAAGGCTGAACTGAAGGCCAAATTATACATCTCTATAAATATTTCATTTACCTTGCTATGTGTGTGGCCTAAGCCTACAAAGGAGATAATCACCGGTAAGTCACTGTCAAATCCGGACACCTGGGGCCTCAGTGTCATATAGCGGGAAGGACGGAAACGAAGGCAGGCGTGGGGATAAGCAAAGGGGGCTTTATTTAAACAAAACACAACCACGAGGGGTCAAAATGGGGTAGGGTGAATCGGGAGAGAAGACTGGGCGCAGGGCGAGCGAGGGAGCACAGCAGGCGGAATTATCACACACATTACACAATACAATGACGGGACTGGGGAGCTCAGGACGAGGAGGCACTATATACACCACAGATGAGGGAGCAGACGGGAGGCACCTGGGATCATCCACACGAGGGCTGAAATGAGAGGCACCTGGGATCATCCACACGAGGGCTGAAATGAGAGGCAGGGTTAAACGAGGAACAGGTGTGGCTCGTTAGCGCCACACGACCGGGAACACAGGGGAAAAAGGCATGTGGGGCATGACACTCAGTTGGGCAGGATCTCAGGCTGGTGCACATACACACAGTTATAAGATGTATATGATTTCCAGGGGAAATGGACCTACACCAGGTTTAATAAATCTGTTTTTTGTGTTTGCTTGTATGTATTTTTTTTTCCATTTATTGCATATGCATATTTTTTCACAATGAAATTTATGCAAAGTTTGGTAAATGTGACCTCGGGCTCTTTTTGCTTTTACTTGAATATTTCACTGATGGTAAAGAAGCATGCAGTTTGAGTATGATTACAGTAAATATAGCCTGTAGCTGCTTTTGTCATGCAGGGTGAGGACTTTCACATCCCTCCAGAATTTTATCGACACCCCACACATCACTGTCTTTCCAACCCTTCCGTCTGTTCACTCTTCACTTCAGCTCCAAGGTATGGTCCTTACAAGCGGGCTGGTCCAGCTGGCTCTGGGTGCCAGTGGACTGAGCTCCCTGGTGCTCCGTCACTGTGGACCACTGGTTCTGGCCCCCCTCTTCTGCGTGATTGGCTTTTCCGTCCACAGGGAGGCAGCTCTGCTGTGTTCCGACCACTGGGGCATTGCTGCTCTGTGAGTGTGCAGCTCTGTCTGCCAGTGCTGGGCCTTCATTCAGTGCACATGTCTGTCTGTCTGACTATCTGTCAGCCTGCCTGTCTGTCAGTGAGCGTGTCTGTCTGTCAGCTTGTCTGTCAGTTTGTACCAGGCTGTGTCTAGCCTTATTCAATGCACCTGTTTCTCTATNTGTCAGTTTGTACCAGGCTGTGTCTAGCCTTATTCAATGCACCTGTTTCTCTATCTCTGTCTGCCTGTCTGTCTGTCAGCCTGTGTCTGCCTGTCACTCAGCCTGCCTGTCTGTCAGCTTGTCTGTCTGTACCAGGCTGTGCCGAGCTTAATTCAATGCACCTGTATGACTATAACAATAAGTGAATCAATTGTTTTTCTAGGGTGATTGTGCTCATCGTCTTCCTGTCTCAGCACTTGCGCTTCTGTTCGCTCCCGGCCATCCTGGGGGCAACACGACACCCTGTCTGCAGAATGGTCTCAGTGAGTCCCCTGACAATAAGCACGCAGACACAACTGGGAACACACCTCAGCCTGATGTGCAATAATGCTTATTCATTCCATCCCTCCATCCATTTTCCAAAACCACGTGTCCTATTCGGAGTAGTAGGAGGTCCAAAGCCTATGATTATTTCAACATAAATCATCATATTTTACACGTATGCTTTTACCAGTGGTGTCCATATGTTTGCAGTGGCTGCTGACAGGGATGTCATATGTGTGTCGCCTGTGCACAGGTACTTGTGCCGCTGCTGAGCGTGTGGGCGGTGAGCGCAGCACTTCAGCGCCTGGGCTACTTCCACCCTCACCAGGCCTCCGAGCTCCTGTCCACGCTGCACTTCCAGAACACTTCCAACAAAATCTCCAGGATCACTTTAAATACCTCAGACAGCCTCTCTTGGATTAACCTGAACAGCTCCTCAATCTTGCCATGCATTAGCCAGAACATGTCCTACGGTGCACCCTGGTTCAGCTTTCCTCTTCTAGGTCTGCTAATCTAATTCTCACCATTTTGTGCTTGTTAATTATAGTGACCTCTGGGCCAAGTGAAAATTATTTAAAAGGGGACAAATCACAGCATGGTGCTCTCTTGTATTACTGCACACCATTGTACTATCAACTTTTATGTAGGTTCCCAAAGTAAATTTGTTTGCAGGAACGAGGCTCCCCCTGCTGTCAGCACAGGGAGTTGCAGCAGGTGTTGCGGCTGCCTTCTCATCATTTATCAGCTCTTTGGGTGTCTACCTGTTAACCGCGAGGCTCCTTGGAACCTCTCCCCCGCCTCCTGCTGCGTGTAACCGTGGGCTTTGTGCTGAGGGTCTTGGCAGTGTGAGCGCCGCCCTGCTGGGGGGACCGGTCGGTCTGAGCAGCAGTGTGCCCAATGCCTGCACATTGGGACTCAGCCAGGTACTACCTTGTTTGTAGGGCCTTGTAGGGTTCAATATCAGGAGCTTCCTCAGAACATCAGTCCTGCTGTTCTTCCAACAGTGTGGATCTCGCCGCACTGTCCAGCTGGGAGCCGTAATGGGACTGGTCCTAGGGGTATCCCCACGATTAGCTCAGCTGCTCATCTCGTTCCCCCTTGCCATTCATGGTGATCTTCTCCTTCAGTATTTTTTTTCTGTCTATCTGCAGTAATATTATCAGTAAATGATCTCTGATCTCAAGCTTCCGTTGTACAGGTGCAGTCCTCAGCGTGACCTACACAGTCGCCGTGGGGACAGGTGTCACCTACTTCCAGTACACACACATGGACTCCGGTCGCAACATTTTCAACATTGGCTTCGCTGTTTTTATGTCCTTGCTACTACCTCGCTGGTTCAACTTCCACAAGACCTTTGTCCTCACAGGTACCCACTCCACTGCCATAGTAACTTGTGTCTGTCAGAGCTGTAGAGCAGAATTTCTCGATGGATGTCCCATCAGATTATTTCATCGCGATTGTGTGCGGATGTGTCTGCAGGCGTGGCCAGTCTTGATGTGCTGTTCATCTCCCTTCTGACCCTACCAGTGTTCATTGTGGGTCTTCTAGCTTTCTTCCTGGACAACACCGTGTCAGGTAACGTCACTGTCAAACCTACAATGTGATAAACGGGGAAACTGTGGCTTATTTTATTGGCAGATATTTGTGCTCAAAATATACTCCCCAAAATGTCCTTTTCTCCAGGATCGCTGTCAGAAAGGGGGCTGTGTTCCAGCACGAGAAGGAAAAGGAGATTGGATGATGGAACATTGGATCGTTCACTGGAACACATTGGGATCTACGACCCCCCCTACTTCGTGCAAAGGGTTCTGGACCTTCCTGGACTCCGCGTCATCCCTTTCTCTGCCTGCAGGACACAGGCTAACAAGGATGTGGAATTGCCCTTGCAGGAAACCTCTGATTTGCTGAACAGCTTTGAAGAAACCCAGATTACTGGGGCAATGGACACGCATCCACATCGTCCGGAATTTTAGCTCTGCACTGGTATAAATGTCTGTGTGTGTGTGTGTGTGAGAGAGAGATGTTATTTGGAGAGAAGTAATGGTACACGTTTTCTACTGAACCAGCTGGAAGACTACAAGGTGATCAGAAATATTTTTTAAGCAAACTGAGAAATGTTAATATGTGACACTCAAACACTGAGCATGCAGGTTTGATGGCAACTATGCCTCCAAATAGAAGTAAGTATGCATGTAAGCATGAAGAGACAATATAATGCAACAAAATTAGGCTGCATTAACATGAAAATGCCTTTACAAACTGGATGAGTAGGTCAATTGACAGGACATTTTACTACATGGGGGGCAAGAATTGAGGTGTTGAGTGAAGTTTGCAGGGCTGTTAGCCATATCAACCACAAAATATCTTTTTGTTATGGCCATTTGAAATACATGGCAGTACACTTTGGCACACTGAAGGGAAATAAATTGAAAAAAACTGAGTACATGAAAATCTGAACTTCCTTGTTTAAAATCTGTATAGACACTCAGAGTACTGCAGTCCAAGTAATGATACATTTCAGATACATATAATATTCTAACAAAGAATAAAATACATTTTCATTACTGAAACCTTAACTATAAACACGTATAATGGATTCATAAGTTTGTAATAAATAAGATATACATTTGTAATTCATACATAAGTCAACACTGATGGTCAGATCACATTTAAATGGATTTAATCTGATATATTTCTTGAAATATTTATGCAAAAAAAAACAAAAAACATACGTTTACATATTGCTTCAAGAGAGTGATACATTTACTACATTAACCCATACATAACATATTTACATGTAGAATTTCCACTTTACCCCCCCGTTTCGCCAGTGTGCTGGCTTCTCTGCGCGGATATCAGCATGCAGGGACCCCACACAGGCAACGCCCACATGAGGTCATCTCTCATCACTGGAAGAGACACCCCCCCCCCCGAGAGGGGCTCTGTCTGGACATGCGTCTTCCATTTAGGTCTAACTAACTAGTTGGCCTCACAAGCACATTTTCCTGTTCTCTTATATTATTTCCAACTTCCCAATCAGGCTCTTCCAATCTCATGTTTCTCTCACTGTCCTACTTTTTGACCCCAATTCTATGTCATTCTTTCATTCCCCCCCCCCCACCCACCCCACAGTCTGCTAATTCCAAAGTGTGAAAATGTTTAGAGTCCAGAGGCAGAGCTCCTAACCAGTGTAAGGGTTTTGAGTAGCAGTGCAGACCTGACGCTAGGTGAGATGCTGGGCCACGGCAGTCCTGCAGCAGGCGGAGAGGAGCAATGGCCCGACGTGCTGGTCCATGGAGGCGCAGGAGGAGGAGGTCAGGATCCAGCTGACGACCAGTCTGCCATGATAGGTCAAGGGACAGATCACTTTGGTGTCCTCCTGCAGCGTGACCCAGGTGACGCGTAGCAGACAGCCCTGTCCTGCCCCCCCCCCCCCCCATGTGAGGATGCACTGTCCTGTCTTAGCATTGCTGGAAGACACCCCCTGCATTCCCCCCTCCCCCCACGGACCTCACCAGAGCAGTCCCTTCTGCCAAAAACAGCAGGTGAGTGGCAGTGAGTGACGGGATTGGAGGGAGGGGCCAACCTATCACAAAGAAATGGCTGCGGGTCACCAGGTTACAGCCCAGGAAGGAGGACACGACCATCCCCTTGTGGACCAGACCAGCACACACTTGCCCAGATGGAGGTTCTGAGCCGCCACCCTCCACAATGACCTGAGCCAGAGCAGGAAAAACAGCCTCCTGTCCCAGTGGCCATGGAGCGTTCTGCAGGAAAGGAGGAGAGGAACAAGCAGCTCCAGTAAATGCTGCTGAATACGACACACCTCATAGGAATAACCATCACTAGCATAAAGACCTGGTGGAGAGGGCCGAGGGTCCAGGCCATGTTTTTCCACAAACTCTTGCCTTTCAAATATGAAAGCTCTTATCTAGGATTTGGGGTTTTAGAATTCAGAATGTTCAGATAAAAGCCAGGTCCAGTTTTAAGAATAACATTCTAGAAACAGCATGTATGCCAGCAAAGGGGTTGGATGGTGTGTGGTTTGGTAAACAAGAAAAATGTCTATACATAGCAAATGTCATTATGTCTATACAAAAAAACTATGACAGACACACCATCCATAGTCAACTAGCCATTACTGCTTCTCAGCACTGGTCCATCTACATAGACACACAAACAGGTATGCTTACAGCGTGAATGAAAAGATGATTTACCTGAATTTTACAAAGTGGACACAAATAATGAATAAAACCCTGCTGTTCTGTCTTTGCTCCCAGGGTGGAGTGTAAACGAAGCTACATTGGAGTCTTATTTTTCCAATACACCAAAACAACATATTTATCAGGTAATGAGAGACCCAGATAATGGTTTCAATGACGGACTAACTATCCGAGAAAAGGGAACAAAATGCCACCAACTGAGCCAAACCCTGCGTAGCCCCACATCAGGAACGCCCCTCTTCCCTGTTTTACGTCTCGATTGTCTCTTCCCAACGCTCCTCCTTGCTGACCGATGTACACGGACACATCTATAGCGACACTGCTTTTCCATGTTCCCATCTACAAAAATGTTTTTCTATATGTTTTTCTTCATTCACCCCCGATTATTTGCGGAACTTTCCAGAACATTCCAGCAATTTCTAATCCTGCTTTCAGATGAGCAGTCAAGCTAATCACTGCTGTTCTTTCACATTTTCTCACAACGGTTGTGTTCAAGATCCAGACTGACGGCCCTATGAATCATGGAACCAAAGGACTGGCTTCTTCCTTCAGATGTGATCCTATGCAAGTGCCTCCTTCCCCACTGAACATCTGTTCACACAAACCACATAAATCTGGCAAAATATTAACACAATAATCACCATATAAATACTTCTCCACTAAATACACTCCAATGTTCATCCAAACAGATAAACCAAAATGTTACTCAATGCCCATATCAAAGTAATTTAAGTAAAGGTTATAATGCACAAGTCGTGCATCATACATTTTCAAACGGACAGCTGCGAAGAATCACTTGATGCACAGTGGACTGTGTTTAAAAAGATATAATGCATGACTTCAGGTCTGTCTAAGCAAAATGTTTAGTCACCGGCGCAAGAGACTGGTTCTACTAATAAATGCATTTATGGCTAATAAATGTGAAAATTAACCGGCTTATAAAAGAGTTACTACATATTTGGCATACGTTTGTACTTAAATATGTTATTTTCATGTTTATGAGCTGTAAATGCATTTATGAGTGGAACTACTTTCTTCCGCCGGTAAACATTTTGCTTAGATACAACCCAAGCCATCGTCATTAATTCGAGAATGATCCATTGCTAAGACCGTGAGCCAGTCGTTGCTAAGCCCAAAGGCCAGTTGTTAGTTCCAAACTGTCCATTTAATTCCAAAGACTGTGACAATAAAATAAAAGTTCACAAAAGTCTGGGATATAGTATCCATGCAAAGTTACCAGTGAAATATGTGTGGATGATCTCATGAGTTTTCGGCCCGTAAATGTGAAAATAATGTCTTTAGGTACAAACGTGTAAGCCAGGTGTGTAGTAACCATGATAAAAGCATTGAGGTGGTTCTGTGCCTCTGAACCATGCATTTCAAAATGTATAATGCATGACTTGTTTTGCATTAACCCTTCAAATTGAAGATTATAATAGTGCATTGATATACTACTGTGATTTGTCTGGCTGGCAATACATACACAATAACAAAATTAATCAACAGTTCTGACCAATCAGATTTGAGAACTGCACAGTGCCATGGTAGAAAATAAAAAAAAGTTACCATTTGGCCAGAGTCAGAGGCAGAAACAACAGAATAACCAACAAAGACTAAAAAACTAAGCCTAGTGTGCTATATTCTGCTTAAGACTGGGAGTACAGTGTGATAAATTTCTAGATGTCACCTTCAGTCTGATACATTCATGTAAAAATTACAGAACAGTGAAAGTCATTCAGGGAACCTTATTGAAATGAGTACCTTATGGCTCAAAATCCACAGTATCTGGCTGGTCGCAGTGGGTGAGCTCCAGAATGCTACTGTAGAGGGGGTGGCTTCCTTGGTCCATGAAATGCACAAAAACATCCACCCTTCTCACATATTAGATAATCAGTCCTGGTAATTCCACATGTTGGCTTGTTTATCCATCCATCCATCTTCAGGCTGTTTATCCAGTACAGGGTTACAGTGGAGAACTGCAATCTATCCCAGGCAGCATAGGGCACAAGACAGGGGTACAACCTAGACAGGATGCCAATCCAACACAGGGTGCACCCACACATTCAGACACAATGGGCAATTTAGAAATACCAATTCACTGATCTGTCTTTGGACTACATAAGGAATCCTGCAGAACACAGGGAGCACATGCAAACTCCACAAATACACGTGAGGCAACAGTCACCCTCTATGTCAGTGTGCCACCCTGGTCTATTTGTATGGATTTTTTTAAAATAGTTAAGTCCCAAAAAAGAGTCACACACATCATCAGAATAGGTGGATAAATCCAGTCTTGTTTTGTATTAAAAACAATTGTTCTCATATCTTCACTCATGTATAAAAAGTCCTTCATTGGTGAAGCTTAATGTACGAGCGCTTTGTTCCACGTTTCCTGACAGATGGCAGTGCTGCAGGTCCCGTCTCTTTTCCTCAGAAGTCAAAAATACGCCCCGCCGAACGGCAATGTCGCCCTGTGAATTATGTCGGCAGCTGAAAGTTGACAAACCGATCTGGGCAGAAGTGGAAAACAAAAATGCAGAATAGAGTAAAACAATCAGGGAAAACAAAGAAATCGAGAGTGCCAGGCAACGGGCAGGAGTGAAAAAACAGGTAGGGTAGCAGGCCCTGAGATGCCATCGACAGTCCATACTCCACATTGGTTTGTGTTTTTTACCCTAGTCTGGATCTAGATTAATCCCATTATCTCTCCCAATGCATGATGCCCATACCTACTCAGGATGAAGATCAGCATATATTTCTGCTTTACTAAGCAGCAGGGATTTCAGTCAAAAGGAGACAGTCTATAGTGACGGAGGGAGAGAAACTCAGCCATCTCACAGAACCAACGGATGAGAATACTAACACCATGAGGCTGCTTTCAGGATGTTCTAATACTATTACTGATGCTTTAGCCTTGTTCTGCTGTCTTCAATGGTCTACATTACCCCTATTACAGAGGTATATATACACTCTTCATTACTCCACATTATCACATAATATTCAAACTTTCTCCAGTGCCCTACACTATTCTAGCAGAGTATTTCTCCAAATTACTATATATCACTGTTATTGCTACACTATACAACATTCATAACTGATCTATATACCATTTCCTTATATATAAAGATGTACTTCGAGACTTGATCATTCATACATTACACCCTTCATAAAAAGTACTTCTATCACTTTTGAAGTTGCGTATTGTAATATCACTAGAAGTGAAACATTTAATTAATCTTAAAAAATGTTCTTGTTCAATACAAAATATCAAGTTGATAGTGGATATTTACTCTTTCTGCACACAAACATTAAATATCACCATTCATATAACTTTGCATCTAAGTGGCTTGCAAGACAAGGGTTAATTAAACTTTTCACATCTTACATGCTAGTGACCTTTCAAGAAACATCTAATTCTCTGTCTGAAAGGAAGTCCAGCCTCTCTCAAGGAAAACTGTTTAGTGATAGGTGAGGTTTCCGGTATCAGATTTTTCTTGGAGACCTTGGTTCAGACTTCTTTTGGCTTATATTTTGGATTTGACTTACACATTTTGGTTAAAGGTCTTGGTGCTTTTTTGAACTTTTCTGTGTGCTTGTACTTCTTTATATGGTTTTTGTTCTTGTGTCACCTGTATTTGTTTATATACAGCCGTGGAAAAAATTAAGAGACCACTCTATATTTTTAAACAAATCTGCATTTTTAAATCATGGTTTAGTTGTGGTTCTGCTGGCAGAAGGCTATGCTGAGCAGCGAGATGCTTTCAGGTTCAAAATTTCTAAGACAGCAAGGCACAAAAACAAGGTGAACCAGGAGACACTGGGAACGACCAGAAACCAGCCAGGTAAAAGGCGGAAGCGACATTCTAATGCCAGAGATCACCGCTAACTCATCTGACAGTTTCTCATGGATCGAAGGCTGACAGCAAGTGAACTTCAAAAGGAATGAGAAATATTAAGTGCAGGTGAGAGGTGCACTGCTAGGATAGTTTGTATCAGGCTGATAGAAGCAGGACTGAGGTCCCATAAAGCAAGGAAGAAGCCCTTCATTAATGAGAAGCAGGGAAGAACCAGACTCCAGTTTGCAGAAAAATATATATTATTCACAGACGCACACCCATAAATTGAGAAATGAGTAAAACAAAAAATTGTGCTGTGGTCTCAATTTTTTCCGCGGCTGTATCTTGGTGTTCTCCTTTAGTTGATGCCATATAGGATAAATATCTTTAAATACGCAACCGGTTACTGAATGGAGAATAACAACATGCTAGTGCTGAGCTCATTCAAGCAAGGAAATAAACCTAAATCAACGTGATCAACTGCACTCGGTCTTCTATTTGCACACGGCAAACATGACTCAGGTATTTGCTATGAAAAAGTGCTACTCCATTCAACGGAAAATGCAGCACTACTGCTGGCAGCTCAAGATCCTGAGGATATCTATGAATGGGATGAAACAAAGCAAAGCTTTTTCCCCGTCAGCAGTCATTGGCTTCACAGAGGTGCGTTGCTCGTCTTTCCTTTCTCTCTTACCCACCTGACTTCACGCTGCAGTGTACATGGGCCTTGGACTCGTAGTAGACCCAGTCAAATCCAGCCTCCACAGCCAGGCGGGCCAGCATGCCGTACTTGTTGCGGTCACGGTCCGAGGTGGTGATATCGACGGCCCGACCCTCATAGTGCAGACACTCCTCAGAGTGGTGGCCGTCCTCGTCCCAGGCCTCGGTGACGCGTAACTTCACTCCAGGCCACAGGTTCATCACAGAGATGGCAAGTATGTTTAGCTTGTCCTTGCAGCGCTGAGTGTTGACAGAAGACACGGGGTGGTGTGGGACAGATGTGGAGCCAAAAGACAAAGTCCCAGAGCAAGAAGAGAAAGAGACGTGCAACAGAAACAGCAAGACAGGCACAGGAGACTGCTATCTATACTAAAAACAATACACGGTTACACAGAGATAGATGAATGTGCACAAGAGAACGTGACTCTCACCACTATCCACTTTGCCTACAAGCTTTAAGCTTCCAGCATTAAAGATTAATGTACGTTATATCTCCATAAATCTCCTGACATCACAAGATAATATATTTGTCTAATGTCTAAGTCCTAATCCGTACCACACAGCTTGTATTAGTGATGTCACCAAAGACAGTGATGCGCAATGTACCTTACAGCTGAAAAACGCAACCAAGCCAGTAAATATTTTATCCAATTTCCAACTGCTTAACCAGTACAGGATCACAAGGGGGAAACATTGACAGAGGTGCTGTTTCCCCATCACAATAATATTCATCCCTAAATAAAGTCTTGGCTGCATCGGTAGCCCCCAACTCTGTTCCAACCTATTGTCTATAAAGGTGAAACCACAGGGATCAGACCACAAAGACTGAAAAGAGCAGGTTCTTCAGTGAATACTGTAGCCACTATTTTTGGTTAACGTCTGAAATATGGGTTCCCTCAATTGTTGGGGTACAAATGCTGTTAATGGACCTACTTCCTCTGGCTGGCTTTCTCTCAAATTTGCTAAGAACAGAAAACAAGAGTAATGTGCAAATTATGCATCCCAGGGATGTGTTATTCCACATCCAATAAACTATGGGTAGCTAGTGAGACCTTTGAGATACTGAGATTCCTGCAGAAAGCTGACACTTTTCACACAGTGGCATTGAACTTGCATACATACTCAGGGGGCTCTGCTGGATTTGAGTGCACTGTTGTGCTTTCACGGACCAAAATGTTAATGAAGAGGTGCAGTTGAAACTGGATGGCAGCACTGATACATTTTAGATCTGTTTATTCCTGGTTGATAACTGGGTGAGCAATTTCAACTAAGACACGCAGGGTTTGTGCAAATATCAGATGCCAATTCAAAACTGTAGCCAGGGTGAGATTAACCTAATTAGCAGCAACTAGTGTCACATTTCAGGGTCCTGACACATCAACAACAAAAAATTAGCCCACCTTCCTGAAAGTGTTTTATTACAAATATTTTTAGTGTTTTTTTCCCCAATAGTTTTATCATTTATACATATTTTGCCTTACTCAATCAATGATCAATCACAGATTAATCATTTAAAATATCACTTTAAAATGAATTTTGCAGTTCAAACAACTAGTGGCATATGTTGTCACTATATTTCGGGCATGGATTCATGGGACCCAACACTTAGTTTATAAGGGCCCCAAAACCGAACAATGGGGGCCCAAATGGTAAAACCCATTAAGGGGGATCCCCCCTGTACCCCACATCTGCTCGGGGATCAAAGGTAACATTTTGCCAGGGGGACCAAAATTTCCAGTTATGCCCCTGCCTGCAAATAATATTTATGGGCAACATTCTAAGAAGGAAGAAGAAACATGACATGAATATGGGCAACATTAATCTTTAAAACAAAAGAGTTACATGCAAGACAGAAACAGCTTTGGTATAGCATATGAGATTAAGGAAAGCCATACCTTGGATATATACAAAGCTATTTCTTCGAGTCACTAGATAAATTGAGAGAATTTAAGTGAATGAAGCTGTCGTTATTGTGCCTGCCTGCAGTTAACTGGGGCACCTGAGAGAATTTGTGAAGCCAGATTCTCCTCTTAATAATGACATAACAGTCATGTAAAGCACAACATATAAATTCCAGCCTTATTAATTTGGGATAATCTAGTAAAACAATTTCATCAAAGCAACACAAATATTAACGTCCGTTCTCTTGAATACACATAAAACACGTCAAGTAATTCATTTATGCTGCGCACTGTAAAAGCGTTAAATTTTATTGACCGTTTAATTTCCGTTAGTTCACGGTTCTAATTGTTTTATTAAGTAGCTATATAATAATGTCATCGTTCCGGCATTTGCCCAGGCACGCCTTTCTAAGATAACAGCCTTTCCTTTGACCTTAATCACGCGTCTTCAGAGTCGTAGCCTACAGGAGTACAATACTGGCTTGTTTCCCTCGATTTTAAAAGGTGCATTTGCAGTTAAATAGCCATTTCATTTTTGCACATAAATTCTACTACGTGTAGTTTTGAGTGTTGTGTTCGGTTTCCTATCCCTATCTTAATTCATTAGTACGTACGCTACTGGTTAATCTTATGAATGGTTAAAACGGCGACAGTAGCCTACAGCTAACAGAAAGGGGCTGTTTATGTTATACCTCTAGAAACAAAAGGGGTATTTAAACTTTTAAAATAATCCACTCTTTTCTACGGGGGTGTTGGACTTGGGATAAGAATAGGGTATTACAGAACTGTATACGCCTATTCACAGGACGGTGTGGATTTCCACGTCTGTTTTTTTTCTGCGGCTGCAAAAACGAAATGGAGTTCATAAATCAAGCCGAGGACTTTGTTGGTTTAACTTTCAAGGCACAGATCGGCTCGACTTCTGTAGGAGGTTTCTCGTAACCTCGACCTACATAAACATTCACCACCGCGCCGACAACACGCGTCTGTGCAAACGCATTAATGTGACTAGAGAAGTCACGCCTGTGTTGTAGGCAAATTTAAGCATTAAATTAAATAAATAAAACACATAAAGTCGGCTCCGGTTTATGTCACTATATATAACATATCTTAACGTGTGCGAAATTTATGTGTAATGCAACGGTTGTATTGGTGCGCTAAAAAGCAAAATACAAAACTACAAAATACGGTAAGCTATAAACGAGATTGCCTCTGCTGCAGGCGGAAGCATTTGAAATGGAGCTCGTAAATTGTACAGATTAAGAAAGCTTCGCCTCATAATTAAGTGCGAGGTGACCGCGCAGATTGATGGAGGAGAAAAACCTCAGTAAGACAAGTTGCATTCCCTAGTGGCCTCATTGACTTTAAAACTCATTCATTCTTAAGTACTCGAATCCAGTCGCACATAAACAATAAAACTATATATAACTGGTCATAAAATATACATTCAAAAAACTCACGAGGATCCACGAGGCTTTTCGGCGTCTAAAGAAACTACAAGCAAAACAATCAAGCTTCACATTCACAGCGAATAATTAATATAAACTGCGCTTGTTCAATTTTCTTTCTGCGCGCATCCTGAGCCATAACTCCCCCTAGCGTAAATTCCTATTCAGTACCGCACATCTTGTCTCTGGATCTCAATTGCTTTAAAAAGCTCTGAGTTACTTACAGGTACACACACTGATACAGGTACAGCATTACCACTGTAGCCTACTACTAATAGCCCAAGACAAAAGACCGGTTAAGATGTTAAAAAAAAATGAAACAAAATTAAACCACTGGAATTGTGCTAGAAAAATTCCCTTATAGAATGTTTTGACTAAATATATAATGTTACATGTCGCACTTTTATTCGGTGAAACTTCGCGTCGGTTTGCTTTAATGTCCATTGTGCTGATTACTGAAAAAATTACAGCCGTAGGAAACGGAAAGTTGTGAATTCACTCTGTCCCTCACCTGTGTCATCAATCGGTCAGCGCCCGTGTTCTCTTCATCCTTGAAGATGATGGCAGGATTGTAGTTGGCGATCAGCTCTTTAAAGCGCTCCGAAGCCCTCGTTATTTTCCCTTCGTACCTGCCGCTCGCTCCCGGCGTTTTCTCAGGAATGCTGGGGAGGAACTGTTTGTAAGCGAGCGCTGTCAGCCTCCTCGGCTGCGGTCTCTTGCCGATTCTCTTGCCCGGTCCGCAGCCCTCGCTGACCGGCACCCGAATCGAGGCAAAACCGATGAAAAACGCAACAAGCACTAAGAGCTGCATGCCACCCACACCTGTGGGCACCCCAATAGGAGTGACAAAAAGACGCCTTTCTCCGATCTTGCTATAATCGACCCCTCCCCCTCAATTATATACTTCCCTAAGGGGAGGGGGGATATAAGAAACTTATTAATGTGACTAATTTCTAACACTCGCCATTATTAGCCCGTAAACGGGGCGCCGCCGCGCACCGGAGGCAGCTCTGAAATGAAGGTGCCACAGAGTCGTTTGGCCGCAGCCTGCGAAAGTCCTTTCCCGAGGTCAGCTCTCCCTGAACATAAATTTGAAAGTCCGTTTATTTTGGCAGCCAAGTTCAAAGTCATGTGAGAAATAGTGACCGTCCTACCTGAGCAAGCGCTCTGCTTTTGCGTGGCGGTCAAAAAGTGTCCCCACTGTCATTTTCCATTTTCTGCTTGATTTTATATACGTCCATAGCTGAATTGGTAGAAACTAAACAGATAGGAAAGATATCGTTTTGCCATTTTGTTAGTGCCAGTCTCATCATCAGCCCGAAGCGCTCCCCTCTCGTTGCCCGCCGCAGATCGGACAGATGCCACCTGATGCAATGTAAAAAACGTCGAGGTACCTCGACACGGCACTTTGCAGGAAGAAACCCAGCGCTTCTCTGCGGTGTTAGACTGCACTCATATGTCAGGATACGCGTGTGGCCATAAACAAACAGACAGACCCCTCCTGAAACTCCAACGCGGGGCGAGCGAGGTCCGCTTTCACTGACCGAGGCGCCGGATACACGGTTCCCAGCTTTTCCACGCTGTGCGCATAAGTACATTCTTCTCACGTTATTGAAAAAGTATCTTGAGTACCTGTGTGAGATATGCACTATTTTATATCATCAGAGGATTTGAATTCACATATATTTGAGAATCATGCTATTTATAACCGACAGGTAGCTTTCACAGAGCCCTGTGAATCATAAATATTTAGCTCACATCAAATACTATCTTTGAATAACAGGAGACAAAACTTTTTCTGTGCATCATGAATATCTTGTTTCAAGTAATATATTTCCCCCCAGTTTCTTTAGATTTATTTCTAAAACATCAAAAGATTCAAACTACTAGCTTACCTTGCCATTCATGGAAAACCCCATTTCTCAAAAATGTCTACATTGAGTATTTAGACCATTCATTGCTGTGAAATTCCTTTGGTCCTATACACATTTTCCAGCCAGGTACAGGGTCACCTCTTAACAAAAGGCACTGGATCCCTTCAGATCTAACTGATCAGCTGCAAAAGGAAGCTGATTCACCCCCCCCCCCCCATTCATCAGGCAGCAGCCTGTCTTACTTGTGAAGGTACCTGGTACATGTTAAATGTATATCCTACCCAAGTAGCCATTAAAAAATACTCCAGCATTCTAAATGGAATGTATTATTTTTTTTTTTAAATAGAATGCTTTAAAATATACATTTTCTCTTAAGTTAATGCAAGTGCCTGAGTTTGATATGCCATTAAAAAGCTATTTCCTGCTCTCCAGTGGACCCATCTAGTGGTGGACCCACAGTGTGTCTGTGTTTTATCATTAGCATACTGTGACAGTGACCTCCAGAGGGGTGGATTTTAAGCAGAATCCTTCTCTCAGGTACATCTGTCTCAGCACCGCAGACTGGCCTGCTGCCCAGCGGTAAGAGGTGACTGTCCCGCGTCCCCGACCGGTGCAGTAGGCACTGCTTTTCAGATATACCCACCGCCTCTGAGGCCTCGCAGAGGGTCTGGACGTCATGATGGACGACTGAAAACAAGATAAATCACCACAAAAAAAAAAAACCACAGGGCCCAGAGTTATTTTCGAATGCACGGCTCTGACATCACATGGGTGAGGGACAAGTGGGCTACCGTGCAGGTCATGCCAGCAGCTCAGAGCAAAACACAACACACACATGTAGCAGGTAACTAACCCACAAAACACAGATCTCATTTTGATAGGCTGGTCTTTATTAAATGTTCAATAAAATCATTAAAATATGACTGGAAAATGAAGTAAAAGTCATATAAAAAGGTTAATATAAATATCCTAATTAAAATGACATTAAAATCCAGGAGTCAATGCATAAAGGGAAAGATGGATGAGAGCATACAGCAGCACATGAAGCGAAGCTGAGAAGAAACAGAGGAGCAGATCCAGCGCTGCTCAGCGAAACAATCCCGCTGCTTTCTTCTTCTTGGGTCGGGGAGGACCGCAGTTGGCAGGGACCGGGTTTGAAGGCACCGTCTGGGTTTCAGGGACCAAAAGGAACCAAATTGGCCTCCCATCCAGCATGAAGGATTTATTGCAGTGTAACTCACTCATAAAACACATGGGCTGAAGGTGCCCAACGTTTAGCTGCAGCCTGCTGTTTGCATCACAGTACCTGAAGGGCACCACAGCTTCTTAAGGTTCCTCTAGTCAGGTCTAGTCTAGTCAGAATATATACTCTGCCCGGCCAAAAGAAGAAGTCGCCATTTGAATTTATATCAGCAAATACTTGAGAGCCAATGACTGGATCATTATTACAGCTGAGCAACGTTATGCAGCAATAAAGTATGGATTTTTTTCCTCCCTGTTGGCACGGGCATATTCAAGATTCATTGGGTTCGAATTGTTAAAGAGTGGTTCAGGGAGCATGAGGAATCATCTTCACGCGTGACTTGGTCACCACAGAGTTGTGGCCTTAACCTCAGTGAAGGTCTTTGGGATGTTCTGAAGGAGGCTTTATGGAGTGGTTCAACTCACTTGTCAATACAGGATCTCGGTGAGAAATGAACGCAAATCTGGATGAAACTAAAAGGTGAGGTGTTGCATTAGCTTGTGGAAACAATGTCATGCCAAATGCGCGCCATAAAGCTAAAGGCGGCCCAACGAAAAATTCAAATGGCAACGTTTTTTTTTTTTTGGCCGGGCAGTGTATAGTAGAAAGCTGGAGGGCTGGGAGAGAGGATGAAACCTACAGGGACGTCGGAGCACCAAACCTGTGTGCTTTGTGATTCCCCCAGTGTCACTGCCGTGCTGCAGTCTTCCTTCGGAACAACGGTGCCGCTCGCACCGTCATCCTGAGCACCATCCTGCTGATCATCTACAACTGATAGCACGAGTGGAGAACAAAAGCCGTCTTATTCGCAGAGCTGAGAGAAAGCGGCTTGGCTCTTTAAATCAATGAAACCGCATCAAGCTGCTCATGGCTTTCGCCAAAACTAATATAAATGTTACAATCAGCACTGTCCAGGATACCTCTGTGTTTCTTAGACGCTGGCTCTTCGGGGCGCTGCCCATCGCGCACACGCCTGTTAGGCGTGCCGCTCTCGGTCACCGTGCTCGGAGGGACAGTCTGCTGGTACCCGGGTCTCAGAGCCATGACAGCAGCGTACAGCTCCTGCAGGGTGACGTTGAACCCAAAATTCTCCTGCTGCACGCACACCTTGGGCAGCACCTGATGAGAAGAGAGCAATAGAGGCATCAGAACACATCCATACTGGGCCAAAGAGAGACGCAAGACCTGGGAGAATCAGGACAAGGAGTCCTAGTCAAGGCGTGAGCGTCAAAGAGGAAAAGCTACCATTACAACCTACACGCGGGTCTAAGTTTGGCAGGGGCCTATCGACACAGACACACCTTCCACCTCAAACACGCACAAACACAAAAATACATATTTTAAACACTCATCGTCTAAACACAGTCTGAATGACTGCTCCATCTGAGCTTCAGCAGCTCATGAAAGGGGTCTGCAAAGGGGCTAAGACAGATGAAAGTACGGGGGGGGGGGAACACTACCTCAGGTGTTGGAATGGCCAAAAGGTTTAAGAATAGATGTGTGCGAGTGACACACTCTCCACTGTACTTGGACTTTTTAATTTAATTCAATTTATTTATTTTTAATTTACAGAGGGAGGACAAACTATCCAAATTAGCTCTTCAAATATTTACCAGAAGAAATCAGCGGTTTCGCGTTGCCTTCAGAGGGACGAGCTTCTAAATATACAGCTCAGGCTTGGGGGACTTTGCCGACTAAAATTTATTTGTTTATTCAAACACCCAAAAAATAGACGTACACTGCATCCGCTCTTTTTATTTCCATTTTAAGAACAGAGAGCCATTAACTACAGAAAGATCCACAGTGGAGAGAAAAAAAAAACAGATCACTCTCTCCAACACTTTTCTCTGAAAATCTGTCATAAGGCTTGTTCCTTACCCACCGTGATCTTTAAATGAGCAACATGCGTTTTCACAGATTAGTCAAAAGAAAATGTCATGCTCTTAAAGGAAAGAACATAGAAATGGATATCGAAGCATTAAAACTGTCAAAGTGGTTCAGTGATGGGACTGGAATCATTCCGGCACCTTCTGCTTTTCTAACTATGTGTCTACAACTTGTTATTTCTATGTCTTCTAACAGATCATTAATGGGCATCATTTGGACAGAAGCCTGGACCTTTTACCTGAAGCTTACATGTAGAGATGCACCGATACCGATATTCGGATCGGTATCGGCGCCAATACAGACGTATTTGACGGATCGGGTATCGGCCATGCGTGACCGATCACGTCCCATACCTACTTATTTAGTTTTTGGCAATCAATCGCACAACAGCGCTTTCCCATTTTACATGTGTTTTTTTGCGGTATTCAAATCGAACGCTATCGCTGCCCCTCAGTCTTTTTCGCTACTCAGTGGGTGTGAGTACTTCCGCCTGCTGTGACATCATGCGCATACCCTTCGCAGTACGAGAAGCGTAAGATAAGACGTGATGATCTGCGAGTATTATACGCTTTTAACAGAAAGCAGTAGCACAGTGATTTGCAATCTATGTAAAATAAAGTTTTGAGTTTGGAATAGCGTTTAATGGACAATCCCATTTAACAAAGCGCACGCAACTGCGAGACAAAACAAAGCAATGGATGATTTGGGAGTCGCTAACTTAATTGGACTGTTTTGCGAACTCGCTGCAGCTTGTGATACAAGAGGGGCTGCCATCGCAACGAAAGTAACTGCGCTGACGCCAATGGGAGAAAAACTGTGTTAAAATTTTAAGCATTTGCCACTTGTATATCCTCGCTTTGAAGATATTCATATTGAACTGCAAATGCCTCAAAAACGCTCAAAACAAACGAGGTGGAACAGTACGTGATGTATGTTTCTAGTAGCCTAATTAAATTTTTGTCATACATTTTTTCCATCTGTATTTACTAGCTTAAAAAAAATTATATATAAAGTATAACAAAGTAAAAAGAGCTCGTATCGGAATCGGCAGTTGTGTATCGGAATCGGATCGGAACTGAAAAAATGTGGATCACCCATCTCTACTTACATGTATTGTAATCCCGGTGAAACAGGACATTGTAAAGACAGCGGCATACACTTCTGGTAGGTAATAGCAGCCAGCTAGTTAGACTTCCTGTGGCCTCAGAACGAGCAGCGGTGCACCAGAGCTGACTAACACGGAACACACACGGGCCAGGCGTGTTGCCCTTTCCCCTTTTACTAGCAGGTAATCAGGTGAGCCCGGGTTGTTTTTGTTGTCTGTGGACCGGCGTGCATGTGGGCTGCAGTGGGCTGCAGTGGGCTGCAGTGGGCTTGCTGTTTGAGCAGCTGCTCAGCCTAACCGCCCAGGTGCTAAGGGCCCCATCTTGCTTTTTTCCCTGGAACATGCTGGAACACAGACCTAAGCCTTCCAACCATAAGTCTATTTACTGCAATGGTTTTGTCGCTCCGCGTGTAATTAGGCAGCGCGGAGGCCACATGATCAGCTTCGGACAGGACCGGGCCGCGACCTTGGGCAACGGATACTGTGACATCAGTAATGGATGATTACAGCGTGCTGCCTAGACGCCCCCCTCCCACCGATTCTCCTCCAGACCTTAACATGCCTGGGGGGTCAACAGCATACAAATGGTTCCTCTTGGACCACATGATCACCTTCTGCTTCATGAGTTTTGGACTGACGGGTTTCCCTCGTCGCTAATAAAAACACAAAAACCAGGCCCAGAATCTCAGAAAGTCCCAGCTGGATTTGGCTGTGGTCACACTGCCTCACCACCCATCTCCATCTCATAAGGGTGACCCCATATATGCTGAACATGCAAAAAATAAAAAGCATTATTTTAAGCACTTTAATAGTCATACACTAAAAAAAAAAAGACAGCAATTCATGCTCCATAACCATACAGCAAGCTTGAGGGTCACAGAAGCCTGAAGGCTACGCCAGGATACACAGACCACAAGGCAGGGAACCACCACGGGCAGGACGCAGGACCACAGGCAGGACGCCAGGCCACTGCAGGACATGTACAAACACACACATTTGTATTCACAGACTGACAGACAGTATTGAGACACCTGGCCATTACACCTACAGGAACTTTTGACATCCCATTCTAAATCCATAGGCAACAATATGGAGTTGGTCCTTCATTTACAGCTAAAACAGCTGCTACTCTTCTGGGAAGGATTTCCTCAAGATTTTGGAGTGTGTGTGGGAATTTTTGCCCAATCATCCAGAACAGTATCTGTGATGTCAGGCACTGAGATGTTGGATATGAAGGCCTGGCTCACAATCTCCGATTTAGTTCATCCTAAAGATCTTAGGAATTGAGGTCAGGTCTCTGTGTGGGCCAGTCAAATTCTTCCACACCAAACTCACCCAACCATGTCTATATGAACCTTGCTTTGTGCACTAGGGCACAGTCATCCTGGAACAGAAAAAGAGCCTCCCCCAAACTGTTCCCACAAAGTTGTAAGTATAGAATTGCCTTGGTATGCTGAAGCATTAAGAGTTCCCTTCACTAGAACTAAGGGGCCTAGCCCAACCCCTGACAAATAACCCCATAGGCTACCATTATTCCTTCTCCACCAAATTTTTCGGCTGACAGAGAACCATGATTCATCACTCCACAGAACATGTTTCCATTGCTCTAGGATCCAGTGGCGGCGTGCTTTACACCATTCCATCCGAAGCTTGACACTGCACTTGGTGATCTGAGACTTTCATGCAGCTTGGCCATGTAATCCCATCACTTGAAGGTCCCAGCACAGTTTTTGTGCTTGAGTTAATGCCAGAGAAGTTTGGAACTCTGCAGTTGAGTCGACAGAGCGCTGGTGACTTCTACACACAGTCTATCGGAGGATGGACAGCTTTCTGTAATGAAACGGCACTTTTCCACTGGCATACAGGAACCGACCCATACCGCAGAGAGAGACTAGTTACAGCACGGTTCCAGCTCGCCTCCATTTTCCACTGCAGAAGGGTCGGCTCGGTAAAGGGTTACCGGGTTTGGACAGCAACAGCAATGTTTATTGTTTGCTTACTGTTCACAGGGTGTATATCATGAGTCATCACGTACAATTATTATGATTTTTTATTTTTTTTTTAACTGTGTGCTAATTTCTGCTAGCACACCTGTGGGCATCGCTGTCTTACGCAAGTTTCAAATGCTAGCGGAGTTTGCTTGAATAAATTTGCATTATGAATCCATTCTGTCTGGCTGTTGCATAGTACTTTAAGTAGGAGGAAGTTGGAAATTTTCAAGATCCAAGTTTCTGGGAGTGCATCCCAATGTGTGATACTCAGGACCATAGCCAGAATTTTTTTAAATACCAAGGTAAAAGGGCTAACCCTTCCTAGGCGTGCCCCATAATGGATCGTGGTTAATGGAATTGCAGAAAAAATACTCTGGACTTGACCTCTGTCTTCAATGACAGGTGCAGGCACTGCAATACTACTAATATATAGAATATACGCTTTTTCCTTTTGATGATCCATGCACAGAACACCGGTATCTCCATGCATTTTGGCCAGTTACATTGTGGTGACACAACCAACTAAGTTTGGTCACACTTTTTACCCTGCTAGTAGGCAGGTCTATGTCAGTGCGGTTATAGTTCAGCTACGGCTCGCATACAGTACTTTGCAATGGAAAACCACCAGTATGTGGTACAGCTCCATTCCTGGTGGCAGTGGAAAAGCACTGAAAGAAAGCCCACCTTCATGATGACCTTACAGTTCGGAGGGAGTCAGGCCATCTGCTGGAATCTCAGCTTCTGGGTACAGCCATGCCTGCAAATGTCATGCAGAGAATAGTGCTACTGTCATGATCTGCCTGACAGCTGATAACCGAGGGGCTGAACTGCCAGAGAACGCCGCTGCTGTGAGAAGACCACTGCTCCAAAAGCATGGAAGAAAGGAGGGGAATGGATCCAAAAGGGGTTAGCAGTCAGGTGTGCAGGAGGGTCTCATGCCTGATAGAACAGCAGTTGTGGTGACATTGAAAAAGAAAGAGAAAAAGACAGTCACCTGAAAAGACACAGAGAAAAGGAGCTCAAACTGCAGACCACAGAGATCCCCAGACCTCAGACCTTCTGGATGGCCAGCTGGGAAGGAAGGAGAGAAAAGGTGCTGAAAGCCTTTGATTGATTGGACCCACACATCCTGACAC